ATAGTGCGGGGCATTTCATCTCGACGCGATGCGCGCCATTCACCTCGCCATCCGGCGTTGCTGAATCAAACATGTACAAATTTATGCGTCAAAACATACCGGAGCCTCGCACCTCGCCATGCACCTATATGTTCAGCGCGATGCTTCCTAGGAAACAAAATTTTTGTTTTTTGCGAGAAGCGGACACGGATGCCTGAAACTTTACATTTGATTGGTCGGTTTAGAATCAAAATTCGTTGAGCATATGTCGAACTACAGTCGGGTGGAATAAAATGTTCATAATACTAATATTTAATTTATCACCAACAATATAATAACCTTGACTCTACAGGGCCCGGCAATAGTACGTCGGGCATCTGCAGCTCCTATAATAAAAAAAACTTAAGAATTCTGTAGTTCGGACATAAAGTATGTATTAGGATGTATTTGAGGAAAATATTCTAAAACTTCTAAAGGGTGGCTCAAAAAAGTGTGAGTGGATCGCTAATATTTTTTTAAATGGAACAAAATGGGTGGCGCAACTCATTCGCCTCGGTTGATTATACGAAAACGGAAATATGTAGAAACAAAATATTTTATGGGCATATGTGGGAAGACCATGTACATAATTTAAAATTATTTTGAAATGTACAGGGTATGTCAGAACTAACATTTACACCAAAGTGTTATATTTTTTCTTACGGAACACCCGGTATTTTATTTCATATTTGGATCCTTGGACACAAAATAAGGCATTTATTATAATGGTTATTATATATTAATATGTTTACAAGCTTTGGTATTTGAGATATTTAAAGATGTTTAAATATGCATGCTACAATGGAATAGATTATCAACACCCTGTACATTACTTTTTAGAATTAATTATTGTGCTGAGTTAATAGATAGAGAAATAAACTTTACTGAAAAACATTATTGCTTGCTTAAATTTATACAGGGGTACCAAAAATTGATGATTTATTTTAAATATTTATTTTACATAAAAACCTTGTTATTTCAAATACGACAACCTGTATTTTTTAAAATAAATCGTAACAGATTCAAATGCTCTTCAAACTATATTAGGGTATCCTATACCTATCTAGCTCAGATTTTGAATAAAAAGCAATTTTTCAATAAAATGGCAACAAAGAGAGCTGATGTTTGAGGCAAGTTTCTAGTGACAGTAGCTATTTTCAAAATCGAAATTAGTTTATGGACTTTATTTATTTATAGCAAGTACTTTAATCGCTAGTTGATTAAAAAAAAGTATACCATTAATATTGCAAATTATATTTTATCCTCTCATAGTCTTTGTCATAATTTTTTGATGATGTAACAAGCACTTTGCTTACTCACTTGTTTCGTCGAACTGCTTGTATCCATTTTTGCTTTTGATCAAATCGGTGTGAGAAACTATGAAGCTATAAAATTTTGTTTCGGGAGAATATGGGTTGAATATCCGGGAAAGTTGAGTTTTGAATGTAATTGCACCCAACAGCGCCCTAATTACGCTCTCCTTTACGCGTTAACATTTTTTCGGCAATTTTATTAACATTTGAAATTGTCACAACACAGCACGACCGACGCCTAGTTCGAATTCTTTTTCATTTATTTTTTACTACCCGAAACAGCGTTACATCATACAAACCTCGTACCGTGCTCGTACCTGAGTGTTTTATCTCTTTTTTGTCCCAATAACTGCACTAGCAAAAAACTAAAATACTTAAATATTATAACAAAACCACGATTTCAATATTATTCTATGGGATGAACATGACGGCGACGTGAAATAGACAGGGATAATTTGTGATTTTTGCCATTGAATCGCTGCGGTAGGAATTTGTTGAAATCAACTGAAATGCACCAAGCCTATACTAAAATAATTAATAACTACTATTACATAAACTGGTTCTTAATAAAACGGCGATGGTAAATGCTTCAGTATGCCTACGCGCACCTATTCGCCGTTTTAAAACAGTGCGCGTAGGATGCATCGCGGTTACCATCCTGGCGAGCAGCGCGGCCAGCATCTTGGCGAGCATCGCATTGAGATGCCTCACTATGTTTGTGCCCTTAGAATGTAAAAAAATACCGTCTCGCAATGCATTTCCAACTACAAAAAGTTGTGAGGTCTCATGTAAAACCAAGTCAGTTTATTTTATTTAGTTTCACTTGATGCACCTATTCAACAATTTTGTTATACATTGTTAATATCAATATTAGACATCTTTAATTTCTGTAATAATTATAATGACTTGGCAATCGCACTGTATGATATTCTACTAATTAAAATACTTGACTCTTAAGTGCACTGTTTTCATTTACTTATAACAAGTTTTTGAAGTGGAAGAATTGCGTTGCGATCGAGACATTTGGCATTTTAAAAAATGTCATACCTATGTGGCGGATTCATCTCTCTAAAAAAAATCCTATATGAGTATTTCGCCACTGCAAGAAAATCTACAAAATAAAATAGTTAGTTTTTGTAAACACTGCTGCGTTAATCCAACGGAGACTAATTGTCAGCAGTGGCTGACAAATGAACAAATTTCCCTAACGGACAAAAAAATGCTTAACGTTTCCGAAAGTTTATCTCTTTCCGTCGTCGGAAGTAAAAAAATACAAAGAATAAAGAAAAAAAAACTGTTTAAAATATTTAAATGCAACTATTCGAGAACGCTTTAGGTCTTTTTTTTTTAAACAGATACGTTTACAAAAACTGTTGACGTTCTGTTAAAATGACATTATACAGGGTGTCCCAGAAATAAGTGCAAATATTTTAAGGAGTGGTAGATCTCGATAAAAGAAACATATTTTATCTTTATCGTTTTTCAAATAAAAAAAAAAATTTTGAAAAAAAAAAATTTGAAAATTTCCAAAAAAAAAAATTTTTTGCTAAAATTTTGAGAACCACTGGATCTTTTCTGGATTTTCTTTCTTGTAAATTTAATCTAATACCTATGTTGCCATATTATCAAGAAATTATGTTTTTTAACTAAAAACTAAAAAAGATTCCAAAAAATTTTTCAAAAAATTTCGTATTTTTAAAAAATTTCGAATTTTCAAAATTTTTTTTTCGCGAAAAAAGCCTCATAGGCGTGTTTCTGGGGTTGAACTGTACTACCAGTTAAAATATTTGCACTTATTTCTGGGACACCCTGTATATTATATCAAGTTAAACTTCAAAATTAACAATTACTTACTACTTGATAACAATTATTTAATAAGGTAAAACCAAAATGCCTCAAACTTTCTGTATGATTATTTTTAATTCTTACGTATGTTATATACGTAAATATATTTATTTTTATTAGACAAAACAGTACATTTATTTTTATTAGATTGTATTAAAAAAGCCTCTTTTTTTCTTCGATAATTCATCAAATAAAATCAGACATCACATCGATTAATTCTAGTTTTCTAACTTTTTGTCGACTGGATATAGTCAAGTTGCCAGTATAGCGACTAAACGACGTACTTTGAATCCATAAAAATATTTCGAGATTTTTCATTTTCTTTTTCTTCCCTTATATTTTTTTGTAATATCAGAGATTAAGAAATTATACCGTGGGAAAATTTGCGGTGAACAGGCAGTTCTAAAAAGTTTTCGAAAAATATACAGGGAAATTTAAAAGAAAATGCACGATTTTCAACATCTTTTTTTGCGAAAAAAAACCTCATAGACGTGTTCCTGGGGTCGAAATTATACCACCCCTGAAAATATTTGCACTTATTTAAGACTCACCCTGTATAAATATTTTATATGTAATAAACATATCAAATATGCTACTGAAACACCTAAATTATATCGATGCATCCCATAATTACATTTTGACAAGTTTGGTTTGGTTTAATTTGTAAATAAAAGCAAAAATTGATTGGTTTGTTTACTACCCGAAACAGCGTAACATCACATTAGTAAAAACCAAAATACTTAATATCATCATATAGCCACGATTTCAATAATATATGAACTTTTGAATAATAAAATGAACGATAACGACAAGTAGCCGGACAGTTCTGATTTCTGCCGTACCTGGCGCTGCTGTCGGAATTTTTAAAAATCCGTAGAAATGCACCAAGTATTATTTCCTATAATGTGTACAATTTTTACGACTAAGTACGATATTTTTATAATAAATAAGTAGAAACAAATTAACTGTGCAGTACATATTGAGCGCTGTTTTGATTTGAGGATGTTAATACGTGTTTATTTTTAATTATTTTTTTACAAAATGCTACAAAATATATTTTTTATGTACTATTTTTTCATTGGAACAACCAAAACAAATTTATTAACATGAGATTAAAGGATTATGTAAAGTGACAGAAAAGAACACAAAAATGGCAATAATATATAGGGCGGTATTTGTTTCATTTAAAAAATTCGATCTTTACCATAATCACACTTCTGTACAAGTATGAAACACCCTGTACAAGTATCTAATATTTTCAAAAATAATAATGCTCTGAATAAAAGAATATCATGTTATCAGTTTTAGATCTTAATGATGTTTTACGCCTTTTTATTTTTTTCATCAAACACACACATTTATAGATGTTTCTGCTATAATAAAATACAGAGTGAACCAATTTTATTTTCGTACTAAAGTTGTATATTTTTAATAGGGATGTTATAAATTGGAGTCTTTCCTAAATGAAATGGCAATAAAATTCCCACAAAATTGTAAAATTAAAAATAAATTTTGCAATAAAAGAAAACATCTATATTTCTGTTAGGTCATATACAGTTACAAAAATATATATGATTCCATAAATTTTTACGTATTTTCTGTATTTCTCCATAAAATTATATATGGCTCCATAGACATTTTTGATGTTAGCTTTCTAGAAGTACTCTTTTGTCTTAAAATATAAAAAGAAGAGATATTCTTCTTTTTTCAGACATGGTCACATGTCATTATGGCATTCAACTAAATAAAATAATTACGGTTGGTATCCGTGCTTTTGGCAGACAAAACCGATAAAATCCTTGAAAGAAGATAACAACTGTCACTGTCACATTTAATGGCGATATCTTTGTTTACAATTTGTAAACGGTTAAAAATAGGCAGGAAATGTTCAAATACAAATTCCATTTAATTGTGATCTCTCAGTGAAAGCTCAAAAGTTATTCAGAAAGCGCCAACATGAAAGCCACGACCAAGACGACCGAGTGTTATTTCAAATTTCTCCTCGTTTTTTACACTCTTTGTCTGCAAATATTGTCCATCAATTCTCGCACTTCAACATTGTGGAAGTTGAACTCGGACCGCACTAAAATTATCGAAGGAGATCCTAATGAAGACAGTGGGCCTTCTTCTCAGTATATAACTGGACCAGATCCTGTATTTAATATCATTACATCGACTGCACATTACGGCTCTTTGTGGGTTAAAGAAAATCGGGATAATTTTTGTAGTAACTGTCCTAACGAGATGTTTCCCATCTTTAAGTATGTTTTATAATATATTACTCTAATTTTCTTTTAAGTTTCTTTTTATTTTCTAGTAAGAATAGGAAGAATGATAAAAACGTCAAGAAATTTGAAGTATCAGAGAAGAACATGAATGAAAACGATTTGTCCTGTGGAAGACCAGTTAATTTTACGTTTTATGATAGTTTAGTTGGTGTTATAAACAGGTATATTAGATATATTAGTTTTTATTATATAAAAAATGCATTATTTTAGACACAAACATCCTCCCTTAGTTGAACCCGAAGCTGTAGTCGATTTTGTTAAGAAATTTAAATTCAAACCTGGGAAAACGTTTGATTTAGAACTTCTAGCGGAAAAACTAAAAGAAATTAAGAAAGAGGTAAGCATAATTTCATTTAAATTGTCTAGCAATGTAACAAAAATATTTTTTAGAAACCCAAGTTGGTTAGTACTTTTCAGCAGTTAGGAAATTACTGGAGAATAAAAGGTGAACCAAAAGAAGCAATAGAATGTTTTCGAAAAGGTAAATTATACAGGCTCCTGCAATAATCTGTCGGGCATCTGTAGCTCCTATAATAAAAGCCTAGTGAATTTTACAAGTGCACACCTAAAGTAAGTACTAGGGTATATTTCAGGACAATATTTTAACTTCTACAGGGTGGCTCAAAAATTATTAGTGTATTGGGATGATATTTGTTTAAACACCTTTATATTATATTATTGCATTTTTGGTAATAGGCCCTAATATATACTTTAGGTATGCACTGAAACAAGATTTGTAAGTTCTTTTTTATAGGACCTACAGATACCTGTAGCACTGTCGCTAGACCATAACTAAAATAACTTATAAGATAAGAAATATTAACATTAAAATTTTTAGCTTTGGCAATTTCACCTCATAACTCCGATGTTCTACTAAACCTGGCAAAGGTTTTATTCCATCTACAGTATCTCGACGATGCCATCTACTTAACTCGTCGGTCTCTCGAAGTAGCGCCACCTGAAAAAGGTGCTTGGCAGCAATACTTTACCTTAGGAGAAATATTCAAGGCTTACGGCCATTACCAAGAGGCAGAGATACATTTCAAACACACGTTGGACCTGAATCCTGGTTTTGAGCCTGCCATTCGCGTTCTGAAGGAAATGGAAGAGTTGCCATCGACTCCTATGCATTTTTATACTGTAATTATTATTATTTGTCTGGTAAGTCAGAATTAAAGTGTTTAAAACATTAACTATATGCGAGACACAACATTCCATTCATAAAACTCCCATTTGTTTACAATCATATATACTTTAGTAACACTTTTATGTAAGTTATAACGATATGGGTGCATAAATATGACAACGCTTTTGAGTTTCATGTGCCTTTCTGTCGTTTCAATCTACAAGTTCGAGGGCATGTTCTTTTTTTATAAGCAATTTTAATTTAAATTTTGATTTGTGTGTAATATGTATCTAATATAATAATTATTATTTCTCTATTATAGTAATAGTATATGAGAATTCGAGATGTGAAGTCCATAAAAATAGTATATAATAGATATAATTTTATTTCCAATAATGCTTTTTTAATAACTTACTTAAAAGTTAATTAGGTACACCACTGTTATAGCTAAAAAACGTAACGTTACTTACCGCCGAAATATCGATTTGAGACTAGAATAGTCCACCTCTTTGTAAAATTACTGGCGAACCATCTTAGATATTTAAAAATACTTTAAACTGTTCTTTTAAAAATTACTTGAGAAACACTACAGTTTACAAACACCGCGCAGCAACACTCATAAACATAATTTGAATGAATCCATCAAAAGTCGGCGTCGCTTTTACTATTCATAGTAAAAACATCCTAAAAACCATAGAAACCAAACAGTCTTCCTGAAACAGCGTTGTCACAGTTACTGCCCTAATAAATTTTAATATAATTTAATTAGAAAACTAAAAATAATTGTAAAGGTATAGTCTATGCTTTTTAACTAAAGTTATACTACACATAGATTTAGTACGCCGCGCCGTTTCTATAGATACCCCAAAGAAAAACTAAAAATAACAATAATAACATACTTCGTTTTGAACCACAAGCCGTAGATCTAACGCAATCCGCAGAAATTTGGCATCATCGTTTTTTGTTGAAAACAGGTCTGTTCCCAGAAGGAATCACTGACTAGTCAGCACGTTTCTCATTGGTTAAAATGCATAGAAACCTGATTGTTAGTCTGGTTTCTACACATTTCAACCAATAAGAAACGCGCTGACTAATCAGGGATTCTTCTGGGAACAGGCCCAACGATGTTTGATCAGTATAAAATGTAGGTACATAGTTTTGTCTGTGGTTTTATCTCCTTTAAGTTAGATATGTTTAGTTTAAAGTTATTCCAAAAAAAAATTGTGTATGCACTATGTGCGCGTATTTGAAGTGAATCTTCTTACTAACAACTATTAAATTGAAGGATTTTGAAGGACATGTTTGAAAAAATGTAGTTTAAAATATTGTAAATTGAATTTTTACTCCCGGCGCGCGTCGCTACCACTTTTCGTCTCTCTAGATCGTGTGTGGCGGCCTTGAATTTTTACTCCGAGCGCGCGTAAAAAAAGTTTCATTCTCTTCACAAATTTGTTATAGGTTGTGGCGGTTTTAGTGGCGATTCTTACATCGATGGAAAACAGCGCTCAAATAGAGACCAACCAATCGCAGAAACACTACGGGAGAAGCTCAAACATGAAATCTCTACATAGTTTATCGTGGACAAATAAGAAGTCCCGAAAGACAACTACATAGCACAATTTGATCTCAAGGTGAGCTTGAATTCAGAATCTGACTCAAAAAGTACCAATTACATTTAAAATTTCATTTCAAACTCTATCTCTATAATAACGTATAAATCAAATTTTCTTTTCAGACATTATTCAACCTCCCAATTTTGTTTGTGCTGTGTGTATTTATTATTACTTTGTACCTGTTGAAAGTTACTCCCATTTCAAGTCTAACTTATTTATTAAAAACTTGTTAATTTTCTTGCTATGTTTTATTTTTGTTGATTTAGATAAAATTTAATTTGTTCTGGCAATTTCAATTCTTTTATTGCCCTGTAGTAATATTCAGAGAAATCAGTAAACCTAGAGAAAGATGTAAAATATCGGTTTATATAAATTATTAAAAATTCATTTGAAATTTTTTCCTTAGCCTTAGAGCTCACCTTTTCCTTAATTAATTTTGTAATTTTCAATTATATTCCGAGTTTTCTTTGATAAATTTGAAATTAAATCTGCGTTTTGTTTAGTTAAAACCTTAGGTTAAAACTGTGATTTATATTGCAATAAAATGCTAAAACCACTAAATAGTCGGAATCAGCAACTTGTCTCGTCTGTATTAAATTATTTTGAACAGGAAAGAGATCAAGGCGAGCTCCTTTTTTTAAAGTTTTGCAGCATTGAAAATACATAGATGTTTCAGCTGGTCCCTATACCAGTTTACAAACGGTATACCAGTTTACAAACTGTGAGTTGGATTTCACAAAAAGTGAAGACTAATGTTAACCAATTAGAACTTTCCATTTTTCAACTTTCATTTAGAAAATTTACTAATAGCCTCATTTAATTAGAACTTGTTTATCTAATATTATAGACAAACTAATAATGTAAAGATAAAAAAATATTCAAATCTGTTATCTTATAGCCCCTCTATATTTACTGATTTCTCTGAAGGATCATAACACTGAAATATAAACAAATAAATATTTTGGAAAATAGGTTTACTTTTATATATCAATAGACATTAAATACGATGAACAAATAAACAAAAATGAACTTAGGCTTATACAATTAACCAATATAAGAAATTACTTAACAATAGTCGTGTGAGGATTGTTTTTAAAACTTCACTTGCAATTAAAATGGTGTTATTTAATTTTAAACTTATGCGGAATCATGAATACCGAGACGGAAAATGTCATGTTGAACAAAGAATGAACTTCCTAGAGGTTTGAGGACGAAAACCTGTGAAAAAGCATGTGGAGGGTCCTCATCAGCCTACAAGCAAAATAAATGATTTTGAACATTGTTAATATAATAATTAAATGTCAAATAATATTTTAGAAGCATAAATGCAAACAATATTAACCATAAACCAAAGATCTTTAATAATAGTTTAGTTGGTTTTAGTCAGTGACACCCTCGAGATTAAGTGCAGATTAAAGTGAAATTGTACACAGTTAAATTGACAAGCAATGCAATTCAACAAAATACATACTGCCACGACGCTACAATGAATCGTGTAGCACCAATCGGAAAATATCATGCTGTACGAAAAAACTCCCCTCGATTGGCTTTAAAATAAATGTTTGTACGTAGGCGTGAGGTTGATCTTCGTCAGTCTGATTAAGACAATATTCTTAATATTGTTTTTTCTTTAATTACAATAAGAATTATTACCTGTAATCTCCCTAAAACATTAATTAAGACACCACCATCGAACATTGGTTGAGAATCAACTGCAGTTATTATCCTATTAATTTTTTGGAACGTTAAACCCTAAAAAAGGATATTATAAATATATCATAGACTAGTTGAAAGCCAAGTTACGAACATTTAATTTTTCCATAATTTTTGGCGCTCCTTGTATTTGAACACCTTCGAATGTCATGAACGATAATTCGACCTAGAACAAGAAGAAATATAAATTGTTAATAACCGAATAGGAAGCAGGCTAAAAAGTAACAAACAACAGAGTTAAAAAAATATCTGATTAAGCTTACATTATACATGTTAACCAAGTTTGGCCTTTGTGTGGGGTCATCAAATAATGCATAATATTGCTGTACAAAACCTTTTCCTATTGCCTCGTACTGAGCGTTTAAAGCCATTTCGGCGCTCTAAAAGTCGAAAATCCGTTAGAATTCTGCTTGAAAACTAAAAAATTGGTCTCAAACCGTCCTATCTTGGAGGAATGACAGACAGACAGACAAAACGACAGAAAAAAATCTAAATCAGGGTGCCAATTTTCCCCCCGAACTTGCCCGAACTAAGTTGCATACTCTGGCTACCATAGATTCGATATATAGAATATTCTTCTTTTTTGTCCCTTTTTTTGAAGACCTCGGTTACTAGGACTATCCGACCAATGCTACGTGTACAGTAGCCAATACAGTGGTAACCAAATACGATTTTTTTTCTGATTTGTTAATTCAGTGAAAAATTATGTAATTTTTTACATTTCTAATTTATATTTTTAGCACTCTATACCACTAAACTTGAAGCTAATTGCTTGCCAAGCAGTCTAATCACACAAACTATACGAAGGCTGGCAAATTACTTTTACTTCATTACGCTTTAAAATATTAAAAGAAGAAAAGATTCTACCACAGATTCTTATTAAAATATTTAGTCAAAATCTATGATGCTACCCATAGCTGACAAAATATAGGTGTTTTAAATTTTGATCTGTAGATTTTTTGGTACCATGTCCAGCCATGTCCCTATGCCATGTCCCATATTGTTTACTGATGGTTTACTGTTTACGTGGTTTTTTTCATCTAGAACCAGAGTCTAGAACTTTGAATATGCTTTGAATAAGAAGACTTCTTATTCAAAGATCTAGAATTATAATTTTCTTCATAGAAAGTAATAAGTTTTCTAGTTAATTGATAGGGAGCATTTCATCGTTCCATATAATGAAATTAACGAATTTTAATACGGACTTTTAATAGTTGTTCCAGGTTTAATTCAGATAAGTACACTAAACCTAGGTATATGTAAAATGTCCTTAGTACCCGATTATAGTAGTGATTCTGATGATTCCGAAGATTCTTCCGATGTAAAACAAGAAGTAATGTAAGTACAGTTAAGTTATTTTTACCGCTTAATCATAAAACATCTTATATAAGTTTAAATACGAGTATCCATATTGAGACTGTATCCGAAGTGATACATTAAACTAGACAAAAAATGGGTCAGCCGTCACATGTTTTAGTAAAACAGAAGTAAAAGATGAATCTGAACAGCCAGTACCAAACCTTAAGTTACCCGTACCTAATTTTGGTGGCTCAAAACAAGGAAATGTTGATGTTAAAGCTTCAGTGTTTACCAATCCTTTTATCGAAGCAGAAAATGCTAAAGAAGCGATCTTACAAAAGCACGTAAAGATGGTCAATACTAAAGATGCTGTAGTCATAAATGGTATTTAGAGATGCAAAGTGTATAATTAATTTTCTATACATGGTATTTTTAGGTAAGAAAATCTGTTGGAATTATAGGAAAGGCCGTTGTAGGTTTGGGCACAACTGTAAATATGCTCATGACTCTGACATACAGAAGACAAATGAGCAGTTAGAGGCTGAGAAGCAGTCGGCTAGGGCCCAATCTGTTATTTGCCAGAGATCAGCAACTGGACAAAAGTAAGTTTTATTTTTAATTTTTCTTGTACATAAATATATTTTTTTGTAATTATAGTTACTTGAATAATTCACTCCCGCAACCAACTGAACAAGATATAATGAAAATAACTGAAGAAGTTGCTGCAGAGCAGAAGAAAAAAAGGAAGAGGCCAGGATTAACCCAAGGTTTGGTACCAGGCAAAAAAGTCATGAAACAATACCTGAATCATAAAACTTAAGAGAGGAGCAATAGTAATATGAAAATATCCAGTTTTATATATAAATTAAAACAAATTACAACTCATTATACTTTATTTAAGTACTTGTGTTTGAAACAAATACAAATAATACATATCAGCATTATTTAGTGTCCTTTTCTTGAGGTTCAAAGGAAGAACTGAATTCGCACTTTTTTCTCAATAAATATTTACATCCACTGCAATAAAGTGATGAAACAGAGGTTCTGTCAAAAAAACAGGTTTTACATTGGTCAATATATGAATAAAATTAAGGGACGTGCGGTGCATAGAAGGCGGAATTGAGACAAAAAAAATCAAGTTTTTTAATTAACAATTCATAGCTATTATGTCTGTAGGTATGCAAAAATATTTTTTGACATTTTTTTATTACCTTTATCCATATCTTATCAAATAGCTTCCCCTTCTAAAAATTTCACTGCACGCCGCTGATAAAATTTCAGTATGTACAAATTTCAAAAAGGTAACTTACACAATAAAATTAAGTAATAAGGTGTCTTTTTTTCTGTCTAATTTAACTTATTTTTGTTTTGTTTTTCTACAGTTTTTCTAAACATTGATTCTATTATAATTGATTTCATAATAAATACTTGTCAAAAATAAATAAAAAAATCACAGTTAAGTCAATTTCCAACAAACAGACATTTTGAATACATCTAAAATGCTTTGAGAATGCTAAAAATAAAAAAAAATTACAAAATAAAATATTAAATAAAAGAATGATACAAAGAAATTTAAAAATTTTCATATTTAGAATACGAATTAACGCCTCTACTTTAAGCACATATATAAAATAAAAATATTTCCTAACTGTTGTGTAATGTTTAGATATTTAGTTATTACCGTATAATCGAAAAAAAAACGGCATCCAGTTGGCTTGGAAATGACGATCGATGACCGTTTACTTCTCCATATAATTTTACATATAAAACGACAGCGACCTTCATTTCATAGCCATCGCTGACACCGTTTTTTTTCGCTTATATTGTAGTAACCACTACACAACACTAACACAGTTTCTAAATACTATTAAGAAATACCTCTATTAATATTAAAAGACTTAAATTTCCTTTAAAATCTGTTATCACATCGTAAACATTAAACTTCTTCATAAACATTTCCTTCGAGCCCGTTACATCCAGCATGGCCGTTTAATTTGGCGTAAATATTCGGCGATTTTGAATCGCCATTTTCCTTGAGTTCGTGAGTTGGACAATCTTCTGGGCCTAAAACGAATCACAAAATAAAAACGTTACTTCTATTTCAACTACTAATTTACCAAGGAAACCCTTTTTTAGGTATTTTTTTGAATTTTTCCAATCTTCTCTTAGGGAAAGATTGTACATTGAATAATTCGGATTTCCGGTAACCTCTTGTTCGATATTTAAAAATGTTGGAAGTGTGGCTTTTAATTTTTCATCATCTAATGCAGAGTAGGTTTCCAACAGAATTAAACCCCTACATCTGAAAATAAACAAATTTTAAAGCTTCAAAATTCAAATTTACCGCAAAAATGTAAAATTGAGAATGACATTTGATTTAAAAAAATGACGGTAGTTTTTGACATTTATCGATTTGAATTTTTCAAAATATCGAAAAATCAGGAAGAAAAGCATGTTGAAAACTATTTGTAAGATAATTTTCGAGTCACTGGCACGAAATATGGGCGCTTTGTGCGATTTCCGCCTGTCGCTGGCTGCGAAGTGTTGGATTTTATTAATGCTTAGTTTAACCGTCTACAGTTTAGGATTCATTTCGTTCAAAATATTCTCGTGGCTATGCAAGTGCTTCGAAGACAATTCCTTCAAAGATCTTTACGTTGCCGTAACAGAAAACAACGTATTGAAAGCCGTTTGTATAATAAATAGTAACCCTCAGTACGTGAATAAGTTTAAGCTGCCCGAGGGTTACACGCCGTTTATGATAGCTTGCGCTAATGCCAACACGCAACTGGTCAGTTACATGATACAAAAAGGGGCCTGGATCAATGTCAAGTCGAAATATGGAGAGACGCCCTTTTATTTAGCCGCTTTTTACTACATCCAACACAAGGTAATTTAAAACATTTTTTGACATAATATAATTGTTTCTATATTAGACTAAAAAGATATTTTGTAGAAATGGAAAAATGCTACTTGTATTCGAGAGCTGTACTACGCAGGTGCGAATATCAACGAACCAGCGAAGAATCAAATCACAGTTCTACAGCTGGCAGCGATTTTTGGACACACGTCGCTGGTCAAATGGTTATTAGTGAAAAACGCCAATCTAAATATATGTCCTCATCCATACTTACTGGCTCGAAGCCAAGGCCACCACGAGACCGCTTCCGTCATAGAAACCCGCGTGAAAATCAAATATTTACCATACTAAGCTCCAAAATTGTTTAAAAAATCAAATAGCCATATAGAAATGTCCAAACTTAATTATCTGGGATAACTGGGTTCTGTTAAATGTATGTAGAAGTGCTCGAACCAAAATAACAATTTACACTGCAACTTCTTTAATGGGAACAGCTAATTATAACGATCTATCCCGATTCAGAGCTGGAACAGGTCAGTTTCAAAATTATTTAAATTTCAACATAAAGTTTCAATGACAAATCTTAAGTCTTTGACTTAATTCGTTTTCTTTCAAGTTAAGTCATTTTCGTAAAAACTTATATCAATATAATGTAATTTAACTGGTTTTTATGACTTAAATCTACCAATTTGATCATATTAGAAGTGTGGTCTGGATTTTAACGTGCAAGACAGTGATGTAGGCAGCTTAATGGAAAACCAAATGTATCAAAAACAGATAAAAGTTGGGTTGATACATTTCTTCTATGAGGTATTGCCGGGTTTTGCATCAAAAGTTCAAACCGCACAAGTAGGCGTTTATGGAAATTTTGTATCTAGGGTTGGAACCTTATTCTTCACAAATAGTTACTCATTTTACTACTGATGTAATAGATTATACATATTTAGCTTAGATATATTATCTTCATTTCAGTAGTATACATGAAAGTTTTTAAAATAGTTTTTTTCTACACAAATTTTCCTACAAACGTAAAAACCGGCAACACTGTATGCCGCTTTTGATTTTGTCTCTCTGTCTGTCAACTGGTCATTTATATTATTCTCTGTCTTACACGTTAAAATCCAGACCATACTTCTAAAATGACCAAATCGGTGTATGATTTAAATCGTGATGATCTGCAAGTTAAGTCGGCAAAATAACTTACAATTACCGTCAAGTTAAGACAGTCAAAATTCAATTTATAGCTATCTAGCTTAAGTAGCTATTTTTTAATGTTAATATAAATTTTCTTGTATTAGCGATATAGCGATTTCCTATATTATTAATTTTATTGTAGGTACAAATGAGACTAAAACCGCATAAAATAAAATTATTAATTTTCATAATAACTACAAACACAAAAATATGTTTTTTATTAAATTTAGCCGATTTTATAGCACTTTATATGTATTTATTACAGTTTAGGTTTAGATGTTACCGGATATATGTCCATTAAAAAGTTGTGATATGTTTTGATCACTATGTAGTATGACGATGGCATAAGCAAAGGGTTGGAGGATATTTTAAGATACTCTTCAATATATCCGAGATCAATTTCTTTCATTCATGTTTCGGGCTACATAACGGAGTCGGGGATTCGCTTGAAAGACAACAGACTCACTACGCACGCGTAACACGAGAAATAATCAAAACCGGTTCCGAAAAACAAACTTTTTATTTGCTAGTGGTATTGAGTGTTGTTTGCCGCCTAACAGTCTAAAAAGAAATGCCGCTGTTAAAAATTTATCACAAAAATATATAAAAATCTGGCCTAAGTCTGTTATAAAAAGTCTCAGATCTTTTTAATAAATTAACTCTTCTCTAAAAAAAACATTGCAATTGAGGTGTTCCGATTACAGAAGTTGCACTGTAGTTACCTGGGATGACTGGGCTGCTCGTAGATGTCTAACTGGAAATACTGATTGTTGAAAATGAAGCAGCGCCGTTTCTTGTAGATGGTGAAGTGCGAATTGTCTTTTTGTGTTAGCAAATTTATGTAGTCTCGGTGGTTGATTTGCGTTTTCACCTCGATCACTTGATCGCCGGGCTGGTTCTGACGCCGCACGGTGTGAATATAGCTGTAATAACCTACAAAAATTTAAATTTTAAGGCTAATTTAGTTTGTAAAGTATTTCGTTCAATAAAAGATACAATCAAAAAATAAGCTGTTTGAGTCTAGCGAATCTATATTAGCTTGTTTTCTAAAGGGAGTAACTAACTAATAGTTTGAAGTAAGACAAGTTAAAGCATTGCCAAAGACGTACACGTTAAATGTATCGTTTTGATGTAAATTACATCTCAAGAGATACGTTCAAATTTTATGTTGTGCTTTAACTGTTTAAAGTCTGACCATCAAGTTGAGACGCATAATCATAAAATAAAATTTTAAAATAAATATAATTTGGCATCAAAATGAGACAAACATCTAGAAAATGACAGAAACTTCAATTCTCCTGAGAAACTGTCAATGTCATGCATCTTGTCGTTGGCAGACTTTAGACCTTGTGATACCCAACAAACAATTTGAATACCTCTTTTGTGTGTAAAAATAACAATACAAATATATCAAATTCTTTTAAAGACTCTAAGTAAGTTTAAGTTAAAGACTCTTTTAAAGACGCGCGTTACGCGTTTAAAATAACTTAATGAATTTCATCAAACTATCAGTGATAAGCTGAAATATCTTGCAAATAATAGGTCTGTTCCAACACAGAAATTTGTACCGTTCTAGAACGGTAATTGGGATCGCCGGCATCAGATTTATACACGTGTCGACTTGGACATTTCTGTTACTATACCAAAATTAAATGCGAATTGGAACGGTTTTTGAAGTGATTTTAGAATCAAATTCTAAACCCAATTTTTAATTAATATGTTTCATAATATATATTGAATTTATTAATTCTTTAATTAATACGAAATCACCTTTATTTAACAAAAGTTCCAAATCATTTTCAGTGGTATCCACATCCTCAATATTACTGTCCTCTTCGTCACTCACCATGTTTAGTACAAAAATATATATTTAAAATATGTATAAAAACGATAAATACCAAATAAAACTTGAGGAATCAGCAAATTAAAAACAGAAATAGCCAAAGAAATAACAGAAAAACAATAATCAGCTGACACACACAGTCTTAATAAGCAGGTCAGTTCTTCTGATTCTTGCTTTTACGCTGGTATCGAAATCACTGTTCCGAATATGGTTCACGAATAATTACTATTCTGGTTGGAACCCCAAAGTTATCGTTAGCTAAACGATTCTCTCGTTGATGGAACGCATTTTCCCTACTGCGCATAAGCGTAACCGTATCAAGAACGGTTGTCTGGTATGTTGGAACAAACCTATTAAGAAGGGAGATACTATACCTTTCTATTTTTTTAAAACATTGTCATCTTTTTTGTTCATTGGGGTTTTCAAATAAAAACCATTAAAAAATAATTAAAAAAGTGTGATTAGTCGATCAAACACAAATGTTAAAAAGAAAACAACTTTTTTCATTGTTGTTGCAATCGAAAATATATTTTCCAAATTAAATTTAACAAAATTTAATGCAACAATACTAAAAATACAATTGCATTTTGTAAGGAAAACGCAGACAAAAAAAAATAAGATGTATAAACATAATATACACAATAAACTAAAACATACAACGTCTCCGAGATGGAGACGCGACAGTCTAAATACAATTTAATAAATTAGAATTAAAGAATAATAAAAAAAAATAATCGTTATAGGTAACGAATTTTGTATAATTTCCGTTTCTCACCTTTTTGGCCGCGTTTTCGTAACCTGACCTGATTGGGCGAATTTGACTGCAAGTAGTTGTGCACCACCTCGAAGTCCTGGAATGGCGGAAACAAGGAATCATCCACAAGAGGACCTCTGAAATTGAATAAAAAAAAAACGATATACAGGCTGTTTTTAAAAATGTCTCACCCCTATAACTACATTCGATACCAATTAAACTTTTAGTTACGTAGTCGGGGGCGCAATTTTTAAATTCATTGTTGTCAACCATGGATTTTCATCCATATTCGGCGCCAGGCTGACTAACTGAAATTTACGCTAGGTAGCTCTGCTATAAAAAATGTCAAGTTGTCACATTTTATTTATTTCCTGGCATTGTCATTCGTTTTGACACTTTTGTATTACGAGTTTTTATTTTAAATGAATTGCTTTGCGTTGTAATACTTTAAACTTAAAAATGTTTACTAGCAGACCTTGCAGTCGAACACTGTTCTTTTTAGAAGCTCTTATAGTGTGAAGTGTACAGGGTGGTCGAAATTGGTCTGTTTTAACAGAGAAAACCTATTTCCTGACTAGATAGAGCAAAACCGATATAGAAGTCATGGGCTCGATTTCTGAGACACGTTTAATGGCGCAAACCGCCTGTTGATATTTTCACTGCCAACTGAGATACGGGTTATTTTTGAATTTTTTACTATTTTGAAAATTGTTCATAACTTTTTTATTTTGCGGAATAATAAAATTCTGTAACAGCGTTCTTAAGGCACTTTTCTAAGCACAATCCACTGGCGTAGCCAGTTTTTTTCTATACTTGCTCTTTTTATCACAAATAATGAAAAATATAATTTTTTAAATGGAAATCATAGTTGGCTATGAACTTAAAAAAATGCTCGCATTTAACCCTTTTCAACGATATATAGTAAGGGGATCTTTTTCTAAGAATGAGAGAAATATTAGGATTTTTATCTTTATATCGAAGCGGGCCTTGATTTTGTGTTGACCTATGTGCCTAATTATTTTTATCATAATTTAATATTCAATATTATTATTTATTCGCATAATTAAAGACATTTGGAAAGGTAAATTAACATTCTATATTAGTATTAGTAATTACAACTGAAATCTATACAATAAACAAAGAACAAGACTAAAAAATGTATTTTTTGTGTGGTGAATATAGTTTTCTAAAAAAATCACCAAAGATGTTCAAAATAAGCACCTCCTTGTTGAATACACAATAAACATCTTTCGCGCACGTTACAACGATTTATTAGGCGAACTAGTGTAATAAGTCCAAAAGCTTGCCTAGTAATCTTCTACAATTCTTCTCTCGTCCCAATGGTTCTTTCCTTATAGATAAGGTATTTTAATTTCCCCCATAAAAAAGTTGAAAGGAGTTAAATTAAAGGACGTAGCAGGCCTAGATACGGAGGCCAAGACATGAGGCCCTTTGTTCCAATCCAATCCAATTAAGAACGTCTTTACAGAATTTAATGATTCCGAAAAATAAAAAGTTATGGGCAATTTTCAAAATGGTAAAAAATTCAGAAAGACCTCGTATTTCTGTTGGCAGTGAAAATATCAACAGGCGGTTTATGCCATTAAACGTGTCTCAGAAATAGAGCCCATGACATCTATGTCGGTTTTGCTCTATCTAATCAGGAAATAGGTTTTCTCTGTTAAAACAGACCAATTCCGACCACCCTGTACAAGATAGCTTAATAGTAAAAAACTCATCGCAAGTTTATTAGAATATTTTGAACGGGAAAGGGGTAGTAATGGTCCTTAATGTCCCTTAAGTGCTGTCAAGAAGGTGAGTTTTGTTGATGTAAGTAATAACTGTTTATATATTTATAATTAATTTATTTTTGTTTCATAAAATATTTTGATCAAGACAAAATATGTAGAAGTGGTAACGCTAAATATACGCTGTGTCGGTCAAGCTTAATCACGCGAATAAAAGTTTATTTGATATGAACGATATTTAATTTTTTTCAGACAAAGAAAAACAAAATTTAGTATATTAGTTTGGTTTGGTTTGGCCACCTGTTTCACCGGAAATCACTACAACTTTAAATTTTTAAATGGTACCCTCCGTACATGTATGATAATGGGCAGAGACCTATCTGAAATTTATAAAAACCGTCTAAATCTTACCTGACGAAAAACTTGTGTTTCTTAGAGTCTGACAGTAATCGGTCGCCGGTGTCCAAGCCGATCTTATGACACACTGCCCCTATCATTCTCCTGATTTTCCCCTCGAAGTCGGTGGAGTTGTCGATGACGTCGAAGTAGGGGTGGCCCACCCAGGCTGCGGCAGCCTTGGTGTCCAATTCTTTGGCCAATTCGACTCCTTCAGATCGACAAGAATGATCCTGGAAAATTACAAACATTTCTTAATGTAATTATTAAGATTAATATGTCATTATCAAGATCAAAATGATGAAATTGATATATTATTACAGTTTAAAAATACTTCAACCTCAGTAACCATTAATTCGAAGTTGGTCAAAGAATGCCTAGAGAAATGAACAAATTAGACAAAGAGAATCTCTTAAAGTCCTTTTACTCTGGGTGCCATTCTAGCAAGTGATGGAAGGTAATGAAAAAGCAAACGATCTAGCTAAAAAAGGAGCGAACACCCCCACTAACTGGGCCAGAGCCGTTCTGCTTCCCAAGTGGAAAAGAACCTAAAGCGGAACTCAAGACTCTGGAAGACTCTATCCATAACCTGGAATGAGAGTCCTTGAACGGTCTAGGACACTAAGGAAATTCCTCAGGACTTACGACCGAGAAAAATCAAATATTTTCATTGATTTAAGTAAGAACAACCTTCGGATTGCCACGGAGTTTATAGGACAGTATCTCCCCAATTGAGACGAATGCAGATTCTGAAAATGGGGAAACATCAGATCACCTCATCACTGAGTGTGCCGAGACGACGACCATTCATGTCATAAACTTTGGTACGACTGATATCATTGATGTAGAACTACCCTCTGTAAAACCGTCTCAGATACTGGCTTTTGTCAAAGCCCCGAGACTGTATGATGAGTTATAACTAAAGAAAGGGGGACACAATAGATCTATAACACTTACTTCTGTAGTATAGTAGTCTTCTGCACCCTTAGCTGCTGATACCATGTGAATGATTTGATTGTACCTGTTGTCCCTCAGCTCGATGCAGTTCCAGCTATTGTCTTTCATAATTCTTTCCCATTTTTCCGTACTTATGACTGTCAAAAAAGAACAAATTTATTATCGCACGCCAATGTCATGGTTAAACCGGAATTTATAAGTTAATTGATAATTTGTATAGTCAATCAGATGAGTAAAAAACCCTGTAAAAAGTTTCATTTTAAATACACTCACAATAAAGTATGTTTATTTTGTTTTCTTACTACTTACATGCTGAAGCATCCATAGCTCCTCTGTCACATATAATCAAACAATTTCTTCGGCAGGTCCTGCCCAGCTCGAAGAACGTGTCCTCGATCTGGAGCATCGTTTTCAAAAGGTTTTCTTGAAACACCGACCCTGGAAAATAGAAAAAAAAACTGTGATGTAAAATTAGAGGACGCCATTTTTTTAGTGCCAAACAAAGGAAGTGAAGAGCTTAATGTAATAATCAATTTTTTAAAGGCAGACGTAAAAAATAAAATCAAAAACCATTGAATAATAATTTAAAAAAATTATCTGTTAAACAGTTAAAAGTGATTTTTTTTATATAATTCTGCATTTTTATATTAACCCTCTGACACTGCACTGATCAAATAGTAACAATTTAGTTTTCTGGTGTTATTGGTCCTTGTATTTCTTTAGTTATTGCAATTTATGGTAGATCGTATGTGAGATCTATAAACTAAAAATTACACCATTAAAAAATGTATAAAAAAGTATTTCAAACAAGAAAAATCCAAAATAAATAAAATAACTACGCATTATTATTGCTAAATGCTTCCTACAAAACTATGGAATATTTTCTTAATCGGGCAATAAGTTTAATAAACAATTAATTTATTAATACCAATATTTCATTCTGTCTGGTATTTCGTATTTTAGTATGAGTCAGCACGAAGGCAATCAGAAGGCACGCGATCACTGATAAATCATTTAATTATTCTTGTTCGAAATTTGAAACTACTTTTTTCCGCAGTTTAATAATGAACAATAGGAGCTGATAACAACAATAATATTTCAATCAAACAAATCGACACAAAACGTAATAGAAAATTCACGTGCTAGTAGTAGACATGTGCAAATTAAAAAATATCGATATACGCATCAACAACGGACAACTTGCATGATTTTTTAAATTACTCGAAACATCAGCGGTGCGATTCTCTAAACATATTTCCTGTCTAGTGACTCATCAATCCTATACAAATAACATAGTCTAGGCAAGAAATTTCTTGCCACGAAGCGTACAGAATCCCACTGCAGCTTACTTCGGGTTTCTCTTATTACCGATTCTGAACCGTCCTTGAACTGTGATGCGTATGCGCAGAAGGAAATATGAAAACATTATTTCATTTACGCACGCGCTGCAGAGTTCTAGGACGGTTCAGAATCGGTAATAACAAGAACTCGAATAAAGCTATCATCTACCTATATCTATCTAATACTCGATCTAATATCTAAAAGTCATCAGCAAAAATATTTTTTCAAAAATTCCTTAAAATATATTACGACATGTCCCTGGATTGCCTAAAAAAGGCTATGGTAATACAATTTCGATTTCATTCTTTGATAGGCGGTTACTATGTTACTATTCATTTTGATTAACGTCATATTTTTTGCTGTTGTTAAAGTATCAAATTATCCGATTGTTAAAGTATCAACTATTATCACCCTACCCATAGTATTGAACTAAATAAGTATTTTGCTTCTTTAACATTTTAAAACAGCAATAGTATATTAAACAACGAGTTTCGAAAACGACGTTTTGCGCAAGAGATCGACTGTTTGTTGGCTCGAGCCGCAGGCAAGAGCCACAAGTCGAACGGGTGTACAAAGAAGTTTTCGAACGCGTTTTTTACGCTATTTTTTCTACGACTACAAATTAGCAGCAGACTCACTCAGTTTTTGCCAGTTTTGTGAAATAATTTGCGATGTAATGATGACACTTTTGACGGCTGCGTTGCGTTTGGCGTTTCAGCTAAATATTGGAGGTTAAAAATATTAAAATTGACACATGTTGTGTCCAAAATGACACATGTCGTGCAGTAAATCCTTACCACACAACAGTTTGCAAAACGCCAATTTCAGATCGAGTTTTCCGTGTGTCAAACTGCATTTTCTAGGCTAGTCGTAGAAAAAAAATATGGCGTTAATTAAAATTATATCAATAAACATCTATCAAAGAATGAAAACGAAATTATATTACCCAATATTACCAAAGAAACGTGTTTTGATGTTTACGACTTAGAAAAAAATCAACTATATTTTTATGTTTTTTTTAGAACAAGCAAAATTTTTTAATAAAGACTGCATTTTTCTCAAAATGTCAAAATAATAAAAAGCTTTTTCTCTTGTAAAGACATTCCGTTGACATATATATATATTATGATTATTGTTAGTTCCCAGTAATAATTAGTACCCAGAAAGAAAAAAATCGTGGGTGTTTGGGAAGGCTCGAAAGGAAACAATGTTTCTGCGACGTTTCGCGACTTCTAAATATGTGCCTGAAGAAGCGACAATAAAGTCGCGAAACGTCGCAAAAACATTGTTTGATGACACGCCTACATAGTTGCACGGCCGAAAACAGCGCGTTCCGAGCTGTGACGTCACCCCGCGGACGCACTTCGCCGTATAGCTGCAGTTAAGCGGCTTATTAATGAATTTGTTTTGCATTGTTTATGCGAGTGAATTTGTTGTTTTGTGTTAGAAAGTTAAAAAATTATGATTTATTTATAGAGAATAAAAAATTAAAATATTGCGAATACCATATCGATACTTTTGATTATCGATGCATTTTTGGACATTCCTAATCGTAAGCAATATTTTTTTCTTGCAATTTAGCACGAATATAAATCAGCCAAGGTCGAAAATAAGTCTTATTTATTATTACTTAAATTAACCGAGATTTATTTAAACCACAATGCATTAAAAATAGATGCCTGCATGACCTTTCCATTTTCACTAGATGTAAATTTAAAGGGTGATGAAAACAAACTTGGACTTGGATTAACATCAAAAATGAGTCACTGAATAAGCTGATTTGTACTGTTTAACAACATATTAACAACTAACAATGCTACCACACGATCGAAAAAAAACGGCGTCAAAGGCGGCTTGGGAATGAGAAGCTATGATAATTTTGGCGAGGTCAAGCGCTAGATGTCATTTACTTGGCCCACACTCTTCTTTATTTTTTAATGACGCTTACTGCCAGTTCGCCTTAAAAAGGTTGTAATTCATTTTTATATTCAGGAAAAATTATTTTTAAATGGTGTAGTTTAAAATTTGCGAAAACATTTTTTTTGAAAATAGATCTGTGTGTCTGGAAACGGTCTACCCTTTTTTTAACTTTAACCTTTCTATAATTAGTGTTAATTTTTGACAAATTTCATGTCAATTTTTAGTAAATGACGCCTAGAGATTGACCTCGCCAACATTATCATCGATTGTCATTGCCCAGCCGTCTTAAACGCCGTTTTTTTCCACCATAGAGTATTTAATCGAGCTATTATTTGATTGCATGTCTGCACAGCACCTTAAAAATATATTATTTTCAATTCTGCAATTAAAAAATCGGCCGGCTAAAAATTGCGTGTCAACGCCTAGCTGTATTTCCTAGGATAGTGAAAATATTTGAGACAAATAATTTTATGTATTTTGGCATTCCTCCTGTATATTAATTAGCCCATATTTTATATTTTTTTGATTTTATTTATACGTAAGGCGTATTGTTGTCTCGATTTTCAGTCGTTGCCAAATTTTTGCTCATTATTTTTGGACACCGGTTAAATCGGTGTTAAGAAGTGTCACGTTTTTAGAACACACTCCTGTATGACGTAAGCATGATAAATGTTTTAGTTGAACTTTCCCACTTAATAGAAATCACAGGCTATTCATTAGACAGCCTGTCGCATGTCGACTTACCTAGATATTCGCGTTTACATGCGTCCGGATTTACCGGGACTAGGGAATGCAATCCCGCACCAAAATATCAATCCCGCAAACCCGCGGGATTAAAGCAATCAATCCGCAAAATTGCGGGATTGTAAACAATAAATGCTCCTCTTTGTACTTAACCTATTAAACTTGCTAATATAATGGTTTTATGCAATTAATCGAAATTTTAACTATATACGACTAATCTGTATTGAAATTGAAAAAAACACAATTTGGTGGGTTTTTTAAAAAATTTTTGTTTTAAGGAAAATACGAGGTTTTTTCGAAAAATATGCATTTATAGTCATACATTTGGTCCTAAATGGTACAAAAGGCATTTTACATTTTGCATAAGCCCACAATATATTGACATAGCGTGTATCTTAAACTATCTGTACAGAAATTTGGACTGATGTATACAAGGTGTTCAAAGAATATATTTAGTATTAAATAAACTTATTTATTATAATTTATCTACTTATTTTATAAATAAAAATATTATTCTGATGTTGAAGTTTTTTTTAACTTGTGTTAGTTATCTGCTTTTAGATACACTCTATATCAATCATTTTTTGGCATATGCAGCGGTAAATCCCGCGGAATCTCAGCGGGATCCCGCATTTGCGGGATTGCATTCCCTAACCGGGACCACATATTTATAAAGTAACCATATTGTCTCCAAACTACATTCTGTGAAGCCGAACCGGTGAAATGGGTATACCGTGCTGGCAACTGTTACTCTTGGGTCGGTATTTACATGTGTGGAAGTAAATCGCATAGGGATCTTATTAAGTCGGAGTGAGAGAAATGCGACGGAGTGCTATTGCGGCGTTGCCGGTACGCCTTTCCCTATCAAGTAAAGTAATATCACGATCGCAAACCGCTTATTTTTAAGACTTTTTTTTTCGAAAAGATAAAATCATTAGAAATGTTTCTGAGCATTTGAAATGGAATTATAAGGATATCTTTAAGGTGTCATTTTTTCTATAACGAGAAAACGTCAGTAATCTCGATAATTTAAAAACTCAACTTTTTAACACATAACACGCCATAACTCAAGAAACACTTTAGATATTGAACCTTTTTTTTTATTTTGAAGATAGGATCTGTTACAATATGTTTACATAAGAAAAATTCGATAAGGTTGTTTTTTTCCATTCAAAAATTGTAAACAACCCATCTATTTACTTTTAGAGCATAGCAATTTTAAGCAGTCGTGTAATTTTTTTATTGATAAAGATTTTCACTTCTGTCTACGAAGAAAATAAAGCAAAAATATTAAGAAAGTTTTTGAAAAAACTACAATCAATTATTTCTAATAGATTTCCAGATATCGATTTTTGAATTCAGAGTTCTAATAGCCCGACCACTGTCGAAAACCAACTCAATTCCACTTATTTTTACCAAAAATGCAAGTGTTT